TTATTAATGTATTTTTCATTATTTCAATTCCTCAAAATACTTTTTCGATTATTTGCGAGTGTTTCTGTTTACAAATAATTGAAAGAACATATGAAAATCAGTCTTTTATGGGTATTTTTGACTATTAAAGTTAAAGATTTTGTTTTGCAATAATGAACAAAGTTGATTTGCTCGTATATGTATATCATTTAATTTTAGATTTTATTCCTATTTAAATTTTTACCTATACCTAAATAAAACGCTCGAATTGCAAATTTTTACAATATGTATATTTACAACTCACGATAATTGTTTGAAAAAGTTACTGTGTAGCGAAACAGTTGTCGTGGGTTATAAGTATGTACATATATTGTGAAAATTTACACTTTGAAGTTTTATTTATGTGTAATAAATTAAAACCAAATAAATGCCGATTCCATCATGTACTTGAATTTTTTGCCTGGTACGAACTGGCACTATTCTGTTTTCTTGTTACACAAGCTTTTAATTCTACTGAGAGAAGTTTTTTTAACTACTCCATATATTACCTATATTTATACAATTATATCTTATTAGATTTGTGCATAATATATTACTAATTTAATATTAAAAGATAACTTTCCATGTGTAACCCATAAATAGTTGTTTTTGAAATAGTTTGAGTTTACAGATACTTAATAAAAATATTCATTCCTAAACTAATTCAATATACATACAGCGTGTCTACTTAAGTTGACAACATATTTGAAACATTTTTATTATTAATCTTACTAAAAAGTTACTCTTTATAAAAAGTCCTGCATGGTCTAAAACACTCAAATATTCATTATCTCTCACATTTGAAATTATTTTAGTTTTGTTTTTCAAACTAAAAATCATAATTTCAGCAATTAATAGATACGGTTGCATACTTGTAACTACTTATTAATTCTCAAAAACTTTTCTTCTTTTTCAAAAATAATGGTACTTTACTGTTACACAAACTTCATGTTAATGCCAAAATTTGTATATGACTGACAAAATAATTAAGTCTGACCATGTCATTATGTATTTTAGACTCTTTATAAAGAGTAACTTTATTTCGTAAGATGAATAATAAAAAAAGTTTCTCGTATAATGCCAACTTAAGTAGACACACTGTATATGCTCATAAAGGGATAAACTGGCTGACTTATATGTTTATCAACGTATAGCCCAAACTCTTGCGTGTGGAGACTTGAAATTTTGCAGATACGTTTCTTGTACAACGTTAGGTCAACATTAATTATAGGAAAGGATTTTGTACCCTAAAGGGCTGAAAAAGGGATGCAATGTTTGATGTATTGATCAAGGCGCAGCTCAAACCGCTGACTCAGGATGCTTGAAATTTGCACAAAGGTTCCTTTTACAACGATATGTACTTATCATCCACTATTAAACGACTTTTCAAAATTCCAGACCCTAAAGAGGTGAAGCGGTGGTTAAAAGTTTAATATCAGCTCATACTCTAATTGCTTGCTTACTCTCTAAAAGGTAGTCCTAAATTTCAAGCTCTAAAGGTATGAATGATGCGTAACTTTTCAAAATTAAAATTCCTAAAGTTGTAAAAAGGAGATTTGCGATAAAATAGAATTCCACGTGGACGAAGTCGCGGGTAACAACTACTTAAAATATGTATATAAAGAAATACTGGATTACTTTTCATATTTTCACATATTGCAGTTACTGAATATTTTTTTAGGTAAAGGTACCCAATGATTAACTTTCAGTAATATGGTTTCTGTAGCTTAATTTTAATTCATAATAAATTTCCTGATTTGTTGTAAAATTTGAAACTAGAATTTCATTTATTTTTTGTTAGTAGGAATATTATTCATTAAAATTTGAACTTATGATAAAGTAAGAGTTAGGTAGTAAAATTTATTGGAAAACTATTGCTGAGATCATTGAGAAAAAACTTCTTCATTAAACCCCGTAGGTATTTAGCATATCCTTTCACTTTGTACCCCTTCTCTGGCGGCACAACCGCAGGGTCCATTCTCCGTCTTCGCCATGTTCGGCACGTTTTCGCTCAATCTGTTGAAGTTGAAGTTAATAGTAAGTCCTGTAAGTAGTTGGTCCTGTTAATAAATATTAAATCCTGTAATATCATAAGGTTCTAAAAAACTAGGCACGATACGTTTAATAAAAATTGTGATATAGGTATTGTACTATTCAAGTAAATTTTTGTTTCCTTTTTTTATTTACGAAATTATTTTTTGCAAGTTAGTAAACAGATAAATGTAATTTTGCAAATGAAGAAAAATATAACGTCATTTCTTTTAATCAGAATTTAATTCATTTTAATGAATCATCTTTAAATGTAACTTATTATAACTCATTGTTTTTTTAAAAATGTTCTCTTTGCAATAATAATTTTTTCAGTATTTTAATATATAATTTGTGATTTAATTTGTTATGTATAATTTTTCCTTTCGTTAATTATATTTATTCTATAGTTCAGAAAAGATGATGGAATAGTTGAAACTGTTACAATTTTATCGATCGTTTAGCATGGTCGAGACAGAGGTCAAAAGGGACAATGGCACAGCTAGGAGCAAAAAACGTCACGCATACAGAGATACAAGCTTTTACACAGCGATAAGAAGTTATATATTTCAGTTTCTTATTGAAATAACAAGAATATTGAATTGAGAGAAGATAATTTTAAAGGTATATGGGTTACATTTATGATACTTATTAAATAAATGATTGGATGGTATTTAAAATATTTTGTACTAATAAATTTATGAAGTTTGTTAACTACTAATTACTTCTGTAATTAATTTAAAAACACTTGCTAAATTGCATTTAAATTAACCTATTCTACAAAAATTTCTGTTGGTACCTACATTTCAGCTCCAATAATTTTTTTTTTATTATCAAATTGCAATTAAATCAATTTAGTTCATAAAATTTCCTGTACAGTTTGTTTTCTTATTTTTTTTTTATTTTTAAAACTTTATATGTAATTAAGTTTGTTTGACCATCAACTGCATTTATTTTAATAATTAGATTGTATCGTGGAAATATAACC